ATACAGTATTTTTATTTGGAAGTAGAGTGGGTAGTAGTATTTTAATATTATCAGAATTTTAAAATATGGTTAATTTGCTTTATTAAGAGTCGTCAGAATGAAACCAGGTCTGCTTTGAGGGAACAAGAAAGGTACCCAGCTTTTCCTTTTTTGGGTTTATCTGCCATTTAGAAACTGAAAAGGGTAAAAAGGAAATAAGCCAGGTAAGACATAGGAATAATGAAGTGAAAAAAGAGTGGAAAACAGAAATGGTTTAAAAAGTAAAATATAATAAAAGCAAAAATAATTAATATAAAACAGGTAAAGAAAAAGATAAATATTATAGCAGCTGTAAGGAAAAGTTGAAGGTCTTACTAGATTCAGTTATTTTCTTGGTATCTGTACTCACATATCCAAAACAAAAACTTTTGATTAAGCCATAACATAGTTTCAGTGTTCCACATTTTAATTAATGGCACCTAACTACCCAAGTCCTGGTACCAGAAATGTATTCTCGAACCCTCTCATCCAGTCCATCATCAAGTTCTACCCTGTTTTCTATATCTCCTTGGTAGCACACGTGGTCTAAGCCTCCATTACCTAGACAGTAGTGGTGTTCTCTCTCTCTCTCTCTTTTTAAATATTTATTTATTTTTTTTTTAGTTTTCGGTGGACAGAACATCTTTATTTTATTTTTATGTGGTACTGAGGATCAAACCCAGCGCCCTGCGAATGCCAGGCGAGCACGCTACCACTAGAGCCACATCTCCAGCCCAGTAGTGGTGTTCTCTTAACTGATAGGCTTGGTGCCACTCTTGTGCCCTGACAGTCTGATCTCCCCATAGCAGCTATACTGATGTCTTTTGTGGTACCAGGGATCAAACCCAAGGCCTCATGCATGCTAAGCAAGTACTCCACCACTGAGTTACATTGCTATCCATTTTTTAAATTTTGAAATGATCTTGCTTAGTTGCCCTAGGTAGCCTCAAACTCGTAATCCTCCTGCTTCAGCCTTCCAAGAAGCTGAGATTACAAATAGGTGCCACCAGACCCATTGTATAATGATCTTTTCCTAATATAAATTAGATAATATCCCTCACTGACCTAAAACCCACCTTTGGCTTCCCTTAGACTTGGAATATAATCTAAACAGTTCACTATGGCCATAAAGCCTTCTTAGTCTGGCCCTATCTAACTCTAAACTTTGCTCAATATCCTTATCTATAAATAGGAATGATAATAGTACCTATCTTGTAAGGACTTAAAATAATACCTGATATATAATAACTCATTAAAGGGCTATGGTTCTACTACTATACTACATCTTCACTGCTTCTTTTAATCTCATCACACACTCACTGTTTCTTTATGTGAATGTTCTTTTTCTTAGTTCTTGACAGTTCTGGTTCCTTCTATTATTGAGGTCTAAAATCAAATATGTACTCCTAGAAAAGCCATTCCCTGACCACTCGTCATTTTTACTTTGCTAACTTTATTGTAGCCATTAACTTCCTAAAATTTTTTCATATTTTTTTTACTTACTTTATGTCTACCAACAGCTCCTAGACCACAAGCTGCAGGGACCTAAAACAATGCCCATTGAAATATATTCTGAATGAATACATGAAACTCATAGCCCTCCTTTTTTTCCCCCTCTCTATATACAGTCGGTCCTCCTTAGAGAAGGCACACTCTCTACATATTACTGAAGACTGCCTATGGATACCTTTTTAAATTTTTTCATTTTATTATTTCACCATACTTTTTCTCTGAACTTGTTCAACGACTTTTCTGCTCCTTGTTGGTATCTTGCTGAGATCACAGGAATAAATCAGTTTAAAAAAGAAGGTAAATAAAGCATAAGGGAAGTTTTTTGTAACCAATTCAGTTACTATTCCTAGGGGTTTTTTTAAATCATGCAGATATTTCAATCAAAACCACCTTCTGATCCAAAACTAAAAAATGTTTAAAATAGTGTGATCCTACTGGCATAAGACATGATATATTGGCCAGTAGAATAGAATAGAGAGGTCAGAAGTAAATCCTCATATACGTGATCAGATGATTTTTTTTTTTAGTTGTCTAAGAACACAATACTTTTATTTATTTTTATGTGGTGCTCAATATCAAATCCAGTGCCTCACATGTGCTTGGCAAGCGCTCCCCCCACTGAGCTACAACCATAGCCCCATCAGATGATTTTTGACAAAGGTGCCAAAACCATTTAGTGAGGAACACAAATGATGTTGGGAAAACTTTGTATCCCCGTAACAAAAGAATGAATTGGGTTGGAGATGTAGCTTAGTGGTAGACTGCGTGTTTTAGCATACTCAAGGCTCTGGGTTTGACCCCCAGAACCACCAAAAGTGTGCGAGGAGATAGAGTTGAACTACCTTACTCCATATACAATACCAACTCAATGGATCACAGATCAAAACATAAGAGCTAAAGTTATAAAAGAAAACTGGGCATACCTGTAATCCGGGGACTTGAAGCTGAGAGATAGGAGGATCACAGGTTTAAGGCCATCCTGAACAACTTGGCAAGACTCTTCAACAATGTAGTGAGACTTTGTCTCAAAATAAATAAATGGACTAGGAATTTAGCTCAGTGGCAAAGTATTCCTGTGTTCAATCCCAGTACCCCCCCAAAAAAAAAATTCTTAGAAGAAAACAGAGGGGGGAAAGCTTCCTGATAATTGGACTTGGCAGTGATTTCTCAGATATGACACCAAAACTCATAAATCAATAGAAAAAAGTAGGTAAACTGGATTGCATAATAATTATAAAAATTTTGAACATTAAAGAATAATTATTAAATTATATATTATTAATTATAAAAATTTTGTACATTAAAGAATAGAATTCAGCAGTGAAAATATTTGCAAGTCATATTTATGATAAGGGATCACTGTCTAGAATCCATAAAGAACTTTATAATACAACAACAAAGCCTGATTTAAAAATGGGTAAATGACTCACCAGACATGGTATATCCCTATAACCCCAGTGACTTGGGAGGCTAACGCAGGAGAGTTACAAATTTAAGGCTAAGTTTAGCAACTTAGCAGGATCCTATCTCAAGATACAAAAAAGCAAAATAAAAACAACTAGGGACGCAGCTGGTAAAGAATCCCTGGGTTCAGTTCCTAATACAGAAAAATAAAGGGGGGTGGGTAGTTCTCCAAAGCAGATATATAAATGGCCAAGAAGAACATGAAAATGGTCTCAAAATTACTAATCATTAGAAAAATACAAATAAAAAAAACATAATGAGATACCATTTCCCTGTTCAAACCCATTTGTGATACTATTTTTTAAAAATAGTATTGACAAATATGTGGGAAAATTAAGATCATTTATATACTGCTGATCAGAATTTAAAATGGTGCAACTTCTGTGTAAAATAGCCTAATGATTCCTCAAAAAAAAAAAAAACTAAACAGAATTGATAAATGATACAGAAGTTTTACTTCTGAATATATACCCCAAAGTATTAAAAACAGGGACTAAACAGGTATCTGTACACTCATGTTTTTTTATTTTATTATTTTTTTTTGTAGTTGTAGATGGACAAAACAGCTTTGTTTTGTTTATTTTTATGTGGTGCTAAGGATTGAACCCAGTGCTTCATACATGCTAGGCAAGTGCTCTGCTACTGAGCTACAGCCCCAGCCCCCTTTTATGGAACCATAATTCACAGTAACCAAAAGGTGAAAGCAAACCAAGTATCTGGCAATAGATACAGAAAATGTGGAATATGATAGAATACTATACAACTCTAAAATGGAAGTAAATTCTTAAACCTACTACAATATGTATGAATCTCAAAGACATAATGCTAAGTAAAATAAGCAAGACACAAATGATAAATGTTAAGTACCAAGAACCGTCATCTTCACAGAGACAGAAGGTAGAATGCTGGTTGTCAAAGACTGGGAAAGAGAGGTATTGGGAAATTAGTGTTATTTTGGTATAGATTTCAGTTTGGGAAAGTGGAAAAACCTTTGGAGATGGTTAGTGGGGATATTGGTCTTAACCATGTGAACAGGAACTTCATGCCACTGAGCTACAGTTTCATATGTGTGCTCACAGTTTTTTGTTGTTGCTCTTTTTTGGTACTAGGTTTGAACAAGGGCACTTAATGACAGCCACATTTCTTGCCCTTTTTATTGTTTGAGACTGGGTCTCATCAAGTTGTTTAGAGCTACCTAAGTTGCTGAGGATGGCTTTGAACTTGTGATCCTCCTGCCTCAGCCTCCCAAGTCACTGGGATTATAGGCATGTGCCACCACACTCAGCACACAATTTTTTTTAAAGACTGAACATATTTACAAAATGCACATGACTTTCTCTCTAATGTAATTATTAACTCAGCATATCACAAGTTCCACAATATAACTGATAGCCTCTGATCACTAAACAACAAAATTTCATTTTTTAAAGCTATCCTAGGGAGCTTTTTACACTTCAGGTAACTATGACAGAAACTAGCCTCTCTTCTCCAAATTAATGCTTCCTGACCTCCATTTTGTAACACTTCACCTCCGTTTTGTAACACTTCAGAAGTCTATATCAGTTAGAAATCATTTATCATCCCTTGATATAATTGAACTTGTATAGCATTTATGTACATTGTTAAGTAAACGATTACCTTTTTTGTTGTTGTTGTTCTGGGGAGTGAACTCAGGGGTGCTTTATCACTAAGCCTCAGTCCTTTTTATTTATTTACTTATTTGTTTGAGACAGAGTCTCACTAAATACCAGAGGCTCCAAATTTGTAATCCTCCTACTTAGCCTCCCAAAACAATGGGATTACAGTCATGTGCTACCACACCCTGCTAAAAGATTACTTTCTTCTACTATGTTTTATTTTTTGATTGCTCAAATCTTTTTTTTTCTTGAAAGAACTGCGTGTGAGTATGTGTGTGTGAGTGTTATATGTGTGTGTAGTTATTAAAAAGCTAAAATTAAGAGAAATTATCATATAGTGAAGTTTGTCTCCCTCTCTTTTCTTTTTAGGATATTTTCTTTTCTGGATGTTGTTACCTTGTGTCGCTGTGCTCAGGTCTCCAGGGTAAGAATGATGGACATGGTTACAGAGGGACCACTTTCTGACACTAAGGATGTCAGTCTCTATAGTAGGCTGACCATTTATTTTAGGTGTTACTTGTATGTTGTTATGTTTGAAAGGGTGTTATTTCATTTATGGTATACCTTCCCCATATAATTCAATAATGGAATTCTATATATACCATCTCTAACTGTTCTATAAATCTTATTTACATAACATAAGCAGAGTAGTTAAGTGAAAAGGCATTGAACATGCAAATTAAAAGGCTATGCTTGCTGGGTACAGTGGCGCATTGCTGTAATCCCAGTGGTTTGGGAGGCTGAGGCAGGAGGATTGCAAGTTCAAAGCCAGCCTTAACAAAAGTGAAGCACTAAGCAACTCCGTGAGACCCTGTCTCTAAATAAAATACAAAATAGGGCTGGGGATGTGGCTCAGTGGTTGAGTGCCTCTAAATTCAATCCCTGGGACAAAAAAAAAAAAAAGGCTATGCTTAACTTAATGAAATTTGCTTTATTGGTTTTTTTGTTCATTTGATACACATATACATATAAAAGACTCTTAAACATCTAATTCTCATGCTATTTTATCCCCATGTTCTTTCCTTGAAAGATAAAATTTAAAAAAAAAAATGGTTGTAGAACAAATCACTTTTCCTAAAGTCAGTTTCTACATTATACTTGACTCTCCATTTTTGTCACTTAACATTGCTGTGACAAAATGGCCATATACCCTAATCTTATTGGCTATCACTGATATAAAGGGTATAATCTCTGATGTGGAAAAATTGCTTTATGAACTGCTTCCAACCACTTTTGTAATACAGTTATCTGATCAGTAATAAAATGAACATGTATTTGCAGTTGTCATCTTTTTATAAATTAGGCACCAGCTTTTTGTTTGTTCATTCATTTAACAAATATTTACTGAGAGCCCACTGTTTGCCAGGTACTGATATGTAATATGGCTGTACCATAAAGTATTATGTTTATCTGTGTAGGTGGGCCCAGATGTCCCTTCAGACTACTATCACCACACATAAATCTTAATATAGAGAATTTCCCCTTATTCTAACTTTAATTTCTGCATCCTGAAAGCCATACTTAATGTCTGTCAGTCATTTTGGAAATTAACAATGGTGCTTCAGTGATTTCTCTTTTGACATTTTTATCTCCATTAGTTGTGTGGTCCCTTTAGACATGGCCATTTACAAGTGAATGAATTTTCCTTTCTGATTCCATTGTGAAGGTGACAAAACACCCAGAAACAAAATTCCCAGATCAGTGTCTAAACCTGTTTAGTTACACAGCCTCATGCAAGAAGTGTTGACTTAAATTGAGTTTTCAGTTATTGTTTTCATTTGCAGGTTCCTCTTCCTTCTTAATATGTGTTAACTTTAAGGGAAGGAAGTCACAATGTCAGTTTTCATTAAATCTGGAAAATTTTATATTAGTAGTTGTTTTATTGTTTTCTTTCCCACCCCTACTGTGTTTTGAACCCAGGAGTATTTTTACCACTGAGCTACATTCCCACCCCCCCCCTTTTTTTTTTTAAGAAGGGCCATGCTAAGGCTGGCCTCAAACTTGTGATTCGCTTGCTTTAGCCTCCCGAGTCATTAGAATTGACAGGGATATGCCACCACACTTGGCATATTCTTTTTGTGTGTATGTGCTTTGGATTGAACCCAGGAGCACTTTGCCACTGAACAACATCCTCAGCCTTTTTTCCTTTTGAGACAGGGTCTCACCAAAATGCTGAGGGTCTCACTAAATTTTTGTGTCTGGCTGTGCCTATAATACCAGTGGCTTATGAGGCAGGAGGATCAAAGCCAGCCTCAGCAAGAAGCAAGGCACTAATCCGCAGCCTCCCAAGTCCCGGGAATTATAGGTATGGACCACACTGCACCAAGTTTATATTCCATTGTTCTCTATGCTTGAAGTTTTTTTTTTTTTTTCAGTGCAGACTCTAGAGAGGAATCCGTCATTTATAATTTTAGTCTGAATTATGTATGTTTTCTGCTTGCTGAAGAACATAATAGAAGGAAATAAGAAATAGCATATCAATCAGAGATTCATTTAGCCCAAGAATTTATTAAACATATAACCTTTAAATGTTTTATTGGTTGCCTCCCCTGGCTAACCACTTAAGCCACTGGAAAAATGAAGCCATTAAAAGAAAAGTAACATTAAACTTCTGAGAAAACTGCAGCTATTTCTATAATAACTCCTTGCTTACCCTCATACCCCTGATATTCTTCTTATTGATTATGTGACAGTTATCCTAAGGCTTATAAGTAAATCCAGAATTCTTTTTTAAAAGTTTCAGAGAAATAGCTATAAGTATAATCAATATTAAATCCCTTTTAAATCTTATCAACTTTATGACTCTAATATTAAAACTTTTTGTTTATTTTGTTTTGTTTTTTTTTTTTTGTTTTTGTTTTGCAGTGCTGGGGATCAAACCTAAGGCCTTGCACATGCTGGGCAGTTGTTCTACCATTGAGCTACACCACCAGTCCATGACTTTTATTTTTTAAATTTAACAGGGAATGTTTTTAAAGGAAAATATAGAATGAGCGACAACAAATTAACTCCCACTGGACTCTTTCTTACCTCCCTTTTCTTCTTGTTTAAGATGTATGAAAATCTTAAACTTTCCATTGAAGGTGAATGTGGTGGCCCATGCCTGAAATCACAGGGACTAAAGAGCCTAAGGCAGGAATATCACAATTTCAAGAGCATCTTGGGCAATTTAATAAGGCCTTGTCTCAAAATAAAAAATTGCTGGGGTTGTGGCTCAGTGGTAGTATACCCCTGGGTTTAGTCTCCAGTACTGCAAAAATAAATGAATAAATAATTTAAAAAATAAATAAAATTACCACTGAATCAAGTTGGGGATAGAATGATGATTAATTGAAAAACCTACAAACCTACCTGAGTAAATTGGTAATGAGGAAAACATGAAATACAGATAAATTATACAAAAATATAATTTTCAAGTCCCAAATCACCATGTCACAGTTTCATATCTAACCAAGTGATACTATAGATAATAGATACGTATTAAACAGAGCAGCATTTGGTGTACTGTCCCATTCCGTTGGTTTCACCCTCATCTTGTTTCCAATTTAGGGATGGAGCTAAGATTTGTTCTTCATCACCTAAAATTCTGTCTCATTTGAGATTAGAAATTGGAATCTTGGGCTGGTTGGGCTGGGGATATAGCTCAGTTGGTACGGTGCTTGCCTTGCATGCACAAGGCCCTGGATTCAATTCCCAGCAAAACACACACACACACACACACACACACACACACACACACACAATAAAAGTGAAATTGGTCATATCATATTTCATACATTAGATTGAAGTGGGTTATGAACTCCCAATTTTACCCCAAATGCAGATTGCAGAATCTCAAGAGCTTTGTAATGTTGTGAACAACCAATAAAAAAAATAAAAAATTTAAAAAAAAAATAAAAATAAAACTGAAATTGGAATCTTGCAGTTTCAAAGTACCTTCTGGCTATGATGTTTATCATAACCTGCTGTTTCCCCAATTTCCCTAATTTAAGATATTTTGTAGCTGTTAATTTCTATACCTACTCATTTTATGAGATAATCTCATTTGAGAGTAAAGCATGGATCCAGGATCAAAAATAGATCAAAAAATTTCCTTAGCTTCTGTTGGGAGTAGTGATAGAAGCTAAGGAAATTTTTTGATCTATTTCAGTCATTAGTTGGTTGAATATTGTTTTTTATTTTCATTTTCATTTTAAATTTTAAATTTTGCTTATTTCTTTTCTTCAAAATAGGCCTGGAATGTTCTGGCTCTGGATGGCAGTAACTGGCAACGAATTGACCTGTTTGATTTCCAGAGAGATATTGAGGTATAATTTTGTGGTGTGTGGCCCCAATTCTCTTGCAAGTAATTATAACATGGGACAAGTTAGCCTCAGCCATATAAATCTTGTTTTCCCTCAAGAGAGAAACTATTGTTTTCAGTACATCTAAACTTCATGGTAGCCTCCAAAGTTCCCAAGAGTTTATTGAATTTTTGAAAATAAGTAGATTATTTCACTGAAGTAATACTAAATTACTAGAACAATTTTAGTCCTGAAAAGGACTCAAAACTTTTTGGTTTTGCAGTAGAAATGTGAACTTACATTTTGTGTTTGCTTGTTTTAAAGAAGTCATTTTTGTATTTGTTTATTGAAGAACAAGTACAATTATAACTTACTGGGGGGTGGTATTTGCATTTCTTTTTTTTTTTTTTTTT